TCTCTCTCTCTCTCTCTCTCTCTCTCTCTCTCTCTCTCTCTCTCTCTCTCTCTCTCTCTCTGTGTAGTGACACTCTATTCATCACAATGTCCCACAATTCTCATCGTCATGCTATTTAATGCTGCCAGAAATGGCACTGTGTTTGTCTCACCGGTCGCTAACTCCATTTGTAGTGCTGGGTGTGTTCAGACTTTTCGGAGCATTTTTTCACTGTTTGATATCTTTTTTTTTTGTTTTTGTTTTGTTTTGTTTTTTCACTGTTTAATATCTTCAATATGTTGAGGGGTAATTTTGGTGCCCATTCTTCTGTGCTTTTCCAATTGACAGGTATCCAAGTTCCTCCGCGTCGGCAGTCGAGGGCTGTTTTTCTTTGATGCCAGCTATCGACCAGTCCCTCTTTCACAGCAATACATCGGCATTACCGAGCAAAATTACATGGCCAGAAATAATCTAATGCATGAGATTTGCTACCGAAAGGTATAAAATATGTCTCGAGTCTCGAGTGTTGATGGACGTCCTTGTCATAAAATTGTGTCATAAGACTGCTCGCTGTCTTGTGGCTCATGTCTGATTTTGTTTGACTCTGCGCAACTACCTTCTTCACCCACATAGAATGCCTGGTCATTATCGCTGTATCTAGACTGAATGCTGCGCCAAATACAGCTAAAATTACCGGGCGTTCTATTCGGGTGAAGGTGGTAGCGTTTATGCAATTGGCTCGTCACTTGTATTGAGAGTGGACTCAGTGGAGGGAAGGCGTACAAGGGTTGGGTTTATGAACTGTGATGATTCGGTTTACAAATAGCTAGGCTACCAGAGTGGCGGCCCGGGACCACTTGCCTGGCCGGGGCAGATATATATATATATATATATACAGGGTCACCAACCCGTACGTACGGAGGTCCCCGGGCCGACCTCCGTACGTACGGGCGTTCGGGGTCCCGTACGGGGTCCGAACCCGGCGGCGTTCGGCCCCCGCCAAAAAATATTTCGGGGCCTATAATTTTTTTTTTTTTTTCTGATTCTCTATGACGTGAGGTACCTGCCTATAAATTTTCAAGTCATTTGGCTAAGCCAAATAGGAATTAAAAATCGCCAAAGATGGCGGTGTCAAAAC